CATCAAAATAAACACGCGTGGTCGAGCACACGCGAGCTACGCGATGTTCGAAATATACCTTGCCACCGGATCAAACGGTCACGTTGAAAGTGCCGTATTGATAAAAGCAAGTTATTGGCATTAACACTGTATGTGCTGGCATCGGTACTATCCAGACTAGTACCTGCACCAGCCTCATTACAACCCTAGAGTTGGCAAGGCCTGGCTTTCGGCTTTTACATGTCAGGTGCAAGTAAACGTGCCCTGATACCGGCATTGTAGCCACAACTTCATCTCCAACATGCATGGTGCTGGTTCAGCACCAGCTGTGGACACCGTGGGTGGCAATATTGCATATTCTGTTCAAAAGGTAGGCATGCAAAAGCCTGGTTTCTCAGAACGCAGCTGCTTCGAGAACATCAGCAAAATCATACTGTGAACCAGTCCAACAACCTTCGTTTCCGCGCAAGCAAGGCTTGGCCGTCAACTTAACTGAGTTTCGCATTTCCATCCATGCATCATCCATTCATTCGTCAGTTAATCCATTCATGCGACCACGTGCCACGTGTATGGGCCCAGCCACCGCCTCGGCACCGGCCGTCGGGTCAGCAGTGACCAGTCTGCTGTCGGCGACGGCCGACGGCTATAGCCCGGCACTGGACCACCCAAACACCTCTGAGCACCCGACACTCGCTCCGGTGTCTGGTGTCTCCGATCGGTACCTCTCGCACTGCTCCAGGGTCTGGTGGTCTCTGGTCGGTACCTCTCGCCTCGCTCCGGGGTCTGGTGGTCTCCGATCGGTACCTCTCGCACTGCTCCAGGGTCTAGTGGTCTCTGGTCGGTACCTCTCGCCCCGCTCCGGGTCTGGTGGTCCCTGGTCGGTACCTCTCGCCCCGCTACGGGGTCTGGTGGTCTCCGATCTGTACCTCTCGCCTCGCTACGGGGTCTGGTGGTCTCCCATCGGTACCTCTCGCCCAGCTCCGGGGTCTGGTGGCTTCCGATTGGTACCTCTCGCCCCGCCACGAGGTCTGGTGGTCTGCCATCGGTACCTCTCGCCCAGCTCCAGAGTATGGTGGTCTCCGATCGGTGCCTCTCGCCTGCTCCAGGGTCTGGTGGCCTCCGATCGCCGCTCTGGTGCGACGTGGACTGCCGCCTACGTGAGGCTTTCGTCGGTCCAAGTGTCTTCAGATAACGGGTTTCCTGGGAAATTTACGTAATCACGGAAATACGCATAGCGGGGAGTCTGTCCTTTACCAGCGCGTGCTGGAGCCACGGTCGCCGGCCGCCAGCCAACCCAGTGTGTGGTGTTGACTGTTGCGCCTGCACGTGCTCAGGTCTTCAGCAGCTGGTGACGGCAGCTCTCAGCCAAGGTCGTCAGCCCGAAATACAGCGGGCATTATCTCAATAATCATCCGTGGTTCCCTCTCGGATTATTATGGCGGCAGCCACACCACACAAACATACCAGGCGCAACGACAATTGTCATCAGTTAGTGAGCAGATATAACTACGCCTGGTCACGATACAAGGCAGCTTTAATCCACGGCAGCACATGAGTCCCACAGACAAAATTACTTGAAGGTCGCAGATACTCAATCCAGGCCCGCAAACTTGTCTGCTGCAAACACATGCGGCCCGCGCGCGTGAGAAGTGCACCTACGTTACAGGCGTGCCTCATCGCGCGCGCCGAACGGAAAAAGGCATCGACCGCCAAGCACCCATAACGAATAGCCATGCACCGCACCAACGCCCTCGCCGACCGCGCCCAGCAGCTCAATATTGAGAGACGCATCAGTCTCGCCGCCGCGCGCTTTATGGCGCACTTTGCGGCGCCGACCGCGACACGGGGCCGCGAGAGTTACGTGGGACCGCAGGCAGCAGCAGCGCCATCTGTCGCCGGTGCTAACGTCCGCGGCACTGGGAACGGCCGTCACCTGGCAGCCGAACAGGGCCGTAATGACTCCGGGCGGCGGCGGCCGACGGACGCACCGCGCCGGCCACCGACCCCGGCACAGCGACGCCGCTGACCCCGGGACAGGGCTCCTGCTGACCCCGCGACAGGACTACAGCTTGTCCTGAGCAATGCTGCAACCGACCCCGGGACAGGGCCTCCTGCTGACTCCGCGACAGGACTACAGCTTGTCCTGAGCAATGCTGCAACCGACCCCGGGACGGGGCTTCTGCTGACCCCGCGACAGGACTTCAGCTTGTCCTGAGACAATGCTGCAGCCGACCCCGGGACAGGGATGCAGCTTACCTCAGAACGGTGACCAAAATCCGAAAAATAATTAGACGCTGAGCCTTTACATTACAGGACTCTCGCGCCGCTTTAAAGGCAGCCGTAACCGCAGCGTCGTGACCAGCCCGGTCCCTCCATTAACAATATTAAAAAAGAACATCTCCGCACCGACCCTGTGGGGAGCCCTGGTAAGCCACTGAACCCGGGGCGCGCCATCCGGCAGCGAGCCTGCTGACTTCGCGGGCAGCCTCTCCACCTGTCGCGCGCCGCTCGGCAGCCACTGAAGGAGCTGCCACGCGGCCCACGCCGGCCCTTGCTGAGCGGCGGAGACCGGCGGCGATGCTGGCCATCCTCACTCCTCTCCTCTGACCGCTCAACAGCTCCCAGGCGTTTTCGGCGGCCGGGAACGCCGCTGCATTGATTTTTTTCACGCGCCCCTGCCCGCGGTCAGCGGCGACAATGGCAGCGGCCTCCATCGGATGATAATGATTCGCGCGCGGCGGCGCGCCGAGCCCCATCGCTGTCGCTCGAGTGGACCCGGGACGGCCGCAACGCCGCACAATAGGATCGCCGGCGGCGAGGGGAAGGCGGTCGAAAAAAACCACCATGATCTACGAATAGCCCGCGGGGAGGCAAGAGGCGTCCGCAGACCGTGCAGAGCGGCAGACAGCGGCCGGTGGGGGCGTGGCTGCCGTGCATGGCTGTTCGTTATGGCTGCTTGGTGGCTGACGCCTTTTCCGATCGGTGTGCGCGGTGAGGCGCGCCTGTAATGCGGGGGCACTTCTCACGCACGCAGGGCGCAATACTACGCCTGTAATGCGGGGGCACTTCTCACGCACGCAGGGCGCAATACCACGGACTCAGGGACTGACGTGGGATGACAAAACCCCTGCCTGTATCAGCAACGTCAGCTGGTATAATGCCATAACGGCATTATAGCCCGTGATTGCTATTGACAACGTCATCTCTAACCGTCACAACTGTTTAAAGCTGATCACAGCGAGCTTCTTGATTGCGTTTAGAGTTGTGGCTTCGACATTTCCAAATCATGTTAAAATTTAGAGTGCGGGGCATGCTGATACCCTTGTTGGAGGCTTACTGAGGAGAAAACAGAAGAAAATATGGACGACGAACAAGGACGCACTGGAGGGTAGCGTGAAGTATTCATTTTCAGCTCCAGTTATTCATAGCTCAGATCAACGTAAGCAGCTCAAGCGACTTACGGATTTAAAGAGAAGGAATGAGGCGAGGGCAGGAAAGAGCGAGGCAGACGGAGAAAGCCCAACACAGAGCAAAAGCGCAACAGCGCTACAGCGCAATATATATATATATATATATATATATATATATATATATATATATATATATATATATATACAACGATGAAAGTACTCATACAGAAGTCCTTCCGAATTACATAACTCACTCGTGCCGTAGAATCTGTGCCGTGCCGTGCCGTGCCGTATATGTATGCAGAAATTACACGCATACAAAAATACATACCCACATTGAAAAAGTTGAAAGTACTAAGAAAATGACGCCGAACCGGTAGATTATTGATGGCAGCTAGACAATGTCTGTTACCACACACCAACTGATTAACGGTACCATCCGTCGTATCGAATAATGGGCGCGGACCTACCGGAGCACCCTGGTGGTCGCAGCATGAAGCAGAGCTACCGAGGTATTAGTATAGGTGGCAAGATTGGAAAGTTTTGGTGCTACGCGCTGGGTACTGGTGAGTGGCGTCAACTCATTTTATGATTGCAAAGAAGGAGTAAAGCACGTTAACATTGGCTGGTACTAAGTAAAGCAAGTGCACATGTTAAAGATAAACCCGGTGCTGTTTGGTCCTTCCATAACGTAGTAGGTGCCTAGAATTTTTCTGACAGCGATCTCAATTATCACATATTCTGCTTCATTCATTGTACTTACACTGCTATGGTCTGGAGCTGCTGGCCAAGGAAATAACAATGCAACAACTTCTCCACTATGCGTAGGCCGACTAAAGCCATGAGTCAGAGCTGGCACTTCCGGCGGCCATTCGGGCCGAACTTGGGGCGTAGGCAGTGGTATCTGGTTTGTTTGTTGTTGCCCCTCTCACATTTTGTATTTTACATTCGGATAATATCAGATCGGATATGAATCGGGTACGAGACAAATGCAACTTCACTGCATATTATGATAAATCATGCTTTTCAAAAGACAGTTATTTTGATACGTCCATCTCGATGGCTCAGTCGGTTAGAGCGTTTGCCTTCCGACATACCCAACCCTGGCAGAGTGGGTTAGAGTAGCTTTAGGCGTTCGCTATTTGCCCTTGACAGATAAGGCCTACGGCCGGTGGCAGTGGCAAGGCTAAAGGTCAGTTCCCGAGGAGGGCAGGACGGACTGTGCCGACATTGCGTTCCGTTAACTTTTAACATAGCTTTCTTCGTTGTTTTTGCGCGCGCGAAATTGCGCGAGCGGATGATAAGATTCACGCAACAAGCACTGCTTACCGTTAGGTTTAAGAATTCATGCACCCAAAAGATACTGATTAAATCTTTATAGGGATACCCAGTGTTCTGACACGCAAGCGGAGGGCCTGAGGATTGCTTAGCATAAAAAGATATAAACCCATCTGTTTCTCTCTCATCTCTTAGTAACGCCTACGCAGAATTAGGTCTTGGTGGAGTTGTTTCGAAGAACAAATGTTTACCGACATGTTGCACAGATACTTCGGAGCGCCATGAACGCCAGGTCTTCAGACTTAGTGACTCCCGCCCCAAGCTAGTACTCACCAAACGACTGGGTGCGCGAGTAGGGCGGGTGGGGTCGATGTCGGGGCGGGTCAGGCCGGGCAGGCGACGACCACCGCATACCCTCATGACCTGAAACAAAACACGCAGCATTGGGAGACGATGACAAGCCCAGCACAATAAATATTTCACTCATTTAACGACATTTGACAATGAAGGACGCATTGTGTCTGAAAAGGACGCCAGCCGAGACTGGGATGCCATATTTTGGAACTGACTGCTCTTTGGTGAAGCTGAACAACGCAGAACATAGTTTTCTTATTACCTGTGCGGAGTCACGCTGTCCTGCGGTAAGACCGTTAAAAAAGCGTGTCGCATTTGCGTACTTCAGCAATCTAAGAAATCATGGGACAGTTCATGTTTATACCTCTTTGGCGCCGCCAAATGCGTTTTGGCAACCGACAGACCTTAAATTGATAACGATTACGCAAGAAGACATTTGGCACTTTCCGATATCTCGGCTGCTTTTCATTTTCTCACTAGTTCACATTTTACGCTGCAGTATTTTTGCAATGTCTTGCAGTGAATTCATGAAAGCCGGCATGGGATGACATCCCATATAAATATTGTGACGCAGCAGTAATGTCTTAGCACTGGAGTTCCGAAAACCAAAAACCGCCTGCGCGAGTAGCAGTGCGCACCCGGGAGCCATTGTTCCGCATCGTTGGTGGTTGCAAACAGCTTTTGGAAATGCTACTATACAAAGCATGGCTATTAAGAGCTTATTTGTGGTTGTGGCAGCCGATTTGGATGTGCAGTGGTTTGAAACATTGCTAGAATCGAGAAATTACGAACAGTTGGCGCAAGCTCAGGGCCAGCTAGTGGGAACTATCAGAACTGAGTAATAGATGGCGCTGAAGCGGTGAACGGCACGGAGTGCCGTATCATAAAATCGCGCTGGCAAGCGCGTCCCCGAGCCGGCCAGCTAGGTATGTTCCTGCGCTGACGGGTACGCCTGCCAGTGTTATGGCCTGAGGCACCGACCGCACGGGCCAACGCGCCCGCTGTCCTCCCACTGAATAAACCTTTGAGCTCATTGTGAGCTGTGTTCGGCGGGCAACATTTTACGAGGCGTGGGACGAGGAACTACCATGCCATTCGAAAAATGCTCCGTAGCGGCGAAGCTCTTCACGAATCACACCAACCCACAGCAGATTAAGCCATGGGTTGCGATGTTCTGGGTCTTAAGATTGCCACATGGCGTAGGATGGGATAGGATTGCATTTAGAACGAGCTCAGCCAAAACGGAAGGGAAAATCAATCGAACTAAGTTCAGAAAGTTACCTTTGCCCACCCACACCACGTCTCGAATTCTTTGTAGAGTATTTTACTTCTTTGCCACGGACTGGTATGAACAGTTATGGCTTAGTTACACGCGATAAGACCGGTTGAAAATGATATTTGAAAAAGGCACGCAAGTCAGTCGGCGAGCCCCGTCGGGCTGCACTGAGCCCCATTCTGATCATCAGCTCAGCAAGAAACTTTGCATATCATTCAAGTCATATGTGGATCCGATCGATCACAACACGAGGCCAAATGTGGCCATGGTTTGCATATCATGACATGGCAACACTACACGCAAAGTAAGCGAGAAAATGTCGTGACTCATCAAGATGATTTAATCCAGATAGTGCAAATATTATGTAAATGACGTGCCTTAATGCATATCGGACGCTACGCTCATTTTGCACAATTTTAGAAGTTAACACAATATCTATATATATATATATATATATATATATATATATATATATATATATATATATATATACTAAACTATTATTCACTGTCTTTCTCCAGCTAATTCAGCGCATCGCCTACCCAAACCCCCGGACGTCCAGTCGCTCGTCAGAAGAGTCGTCGTTTTGACATAAACCTCGATGGCCTGGGTCAATGTCTTTAAAAAATAATTCAATTCATTAACACAGCCCACTGAAGCTTCAAGCTGCTCGTTATTCCGATTTCAAGTTGTAGTCGAAATGGCCTACGGGACAGTGAGACATAACCGGCACCCGCAAAAATTATTCGCAAATTATCTCGACTGCAAACATGGATGGTGATAATGGGCGCCAACCACGGAGCATGGAGCAACTAACAAAATGTGCCTACTTGTTGGTGAACAATGAAAATAGCCTCGGCTGACTGCAGTGGACTGTCGTGAAGCTGTACGCTGCGGTTCGCGCTGCTCTGACTGCAGTGGACTGTCGTGAGGCTGTCCGCTGCGGTTCGCGCAGCTCTGACTGCAGTGGACTGTCGTGAAGCTGTCCGCTGCGGTTCGCGCAGCTCTGACTGCAGTGGACTGTCGTGAAGCTGTCCGCTGCGGTTCGCGCTGCTCTGACTGCAGTGGACTGTCGTGAAGCTGTCCGCTGCGGGTCGCGCTGCTCTGACTGCAGTAGACTGTCGTGAGGCTGTCCGCTGCGGGTCGCGCTGCTCTGACTGCAGTGGACTGTCGTGAAGCTGTCCGCTGCGGGTCGCGCTGCTCTGACTGCAGTGGACTGTCGTGAAGCTGTCCGCTGCGGGTCGCGCTGCTCTGACCGCAGTGGACTGTCGTGAGGCTGTCCGCTGCGGTTCGCGCTGCTCGGAGCTTGCAACGACCACACGGAAATCCATTTTGGTTCCACAAAAGTACAAATGCAATGCGGAGAATGGACTTTCTCACTGAAGGTTACCACCCAATATGTATTCTAGTTTCCTCCTTACCTAATTCACCTATTCATCAATGACCGAATATGTATCGCCTATATACATGATGCGTGATTGTTCGTTTTCTAGATACATTTCTTCTGATAGTTGTAGCGTGAGTATATTTGTGTTGCCATGGACAAACACCACGGCCAATGGTTGAGCACTTGATCCAATGCATCTCACAGTACCGTACTTAAATAATGTTGCTATGTGAGGACTTTCTGAAACCACCTTCCATTTATCTATGCCAACGTTCTTACATTTACGTATGTCGTGTAGTATAGTGCAAAATCCCATCACGTTCTATTCCCCTGTGCACATATCAGACCCTGGCTTCGCCTAGTTCGTAACGATCGGATGTTGACAGCTTTCGTAACTGTGATGCGACCATGCTCCAGTCATAGGAAAACGAAACGGTTCGGACGATTACATCGGACCGGGCTTCCTACCTTGAGTTGATCGTGATTGGGCCACTTCGGCACTTCCAAGCCGTAGCCCGGCACAACATAAATTATTCGGTTGCAAGCATAACGCATGCATGTCTGCTTCTTTATTTTCTGATTAAATACAGGTCAAGAAGGTGACGTAACAAAGCCGTCCGAGGCATAACATTCCAAGATGACCACTTTCGCTTGAAACTTAATTATTAGCCCCCATTCTGCCAAGGAAATCTGCTCACAATCACCGAGCATCACGCATGGCAAGTGGGCGCCGCGTCGTCACTTCACAGAACAGACCTCAGATACATACCCCAACAGCGCGCATAGACACCACCATGTCCGCAGGAGGGTGGAACACGGACAGTGCCAGACACAAAGGAGCGTGAGAAGCGGCGCGCGTGCAGCGTGGGCCGGCTGCCGGTCCTTACCAGGCCTACTTGCATGCGAAGCGCACAACCGCAAACCTACGGTAAGCAGCGCCCGAGCACGACACCTGGGACATTTTTGGTGTGTTGAACACAGGGCATCTGGACCAGATCTGTGGGTCGGTACTCACTGTCGTCGGAAATACCGGGGCGGTGGGTGGCGCCCGGGGCCGCCCGGACTGCCGGGGTAGCCGACGGCCGGGAGCTGACCCAGTCGGGTCAGACATAGCAGTGAGGCAAGGTCTGGCAGCCGCCGAACGTCCCGACTGTGGCGGACGTAATCCGACGGCTCAACGATCTGACAGCCGTCGAACGTCCCGACTGCGGCAGCCGTCCGCCAATGGCCCAAACGAGTGAGACGGCCAGCAGCAGTGAGGCGCGCCAGGGCCCGCTCAGGTGACTACAACGTCCAGCTCTGGGTCGTCGTGCTCCACGTGCCATAGTCTGTTCTGGTAAATGACGCTCCGAGAGGGGCTAGGGCATAAGTGCTTTACGTGCTGCTTTACGAGCGCTGCAGTTACTGTTTGAATGTCCCACCCCGTCTGGGCAGAGTTGTACGCATCCGCATATTTGTTAAGCTCCGAGGTGCATACCATTGACCCGTTGGTGAATCAGCCGTCGCAAGCAGGCGACGGTGCAGCATCGGCCCGGTCACACAAACAGGTTTTGCAGGTGTCATTGCCATGACATAATTCCTGATGCGCACCGTTGCTCGCGATTTGCGCTCATGAAAATTGAACCGGATCTGCGCAAACTGCCGCTGTTTTAAACACGCGATGAAAAAAGCGTATGTATGTCACCGTTGCCGTGCAAAGGCCAATCATCACACAGTGGGCATCGTGAGAAACGTTAGCCGCACTCTAGCGGGAAATCACGTGACTCAGTCTTGACCTGTTCCTCCAAATCGAGCACTACGTAACGGAGCGCCTGATGTTATCAGTAGTGGTGCAGCCTGGCTTTAGCCATTCAAGAGGGATTTGCCACTAACTGATATCCTGCAGCCCTCCAGAAGCGAAACTACAGGGTGCTACCCCGTCACCATTCTCCAGGGGGAGCGGCATTACCAGTAATATCTGTCACCACAGGGGATCGGTATGATCAGGTCTGACCCGTCACCAGTATCCAGGAGGGGCAGTATCACCAGATCTGACCTGCCACCACCCTCCAGGAGGAGCGGTATCACCAGATTTGATCCATCACCACCCTCCAGGAGGGGCGGTATCACCAGGTTAAGGCCTGCTCTGCTCTCCCGCAGGAGCGGTATCACCAGCTGGTAGCCTGCCCGCCCTCCCGCAGCAGCGGTATCACCAGGAGCTGACCTGCTCCGCCCTCCCGCAGGAGCGGTATCACCACGAGCTAACCTGCTCCGCCCTCCAGAAGGGGCGCCGTGCGGCCGGGTCCACCCAAACCCGGCGGATCCAGCGGCAGATGGATCAGCCCACCGTCGGCATGACTAATCACACCAACACGCATCGCCACAGTCAATGTTTCCGACGCCTTGACTTTCGACCTTTGCGCATTT